CAGAATAAAGTGAACACTCTTGAACCTGCACAGCAAAAAAGAGACTCTGTCAGCCCCTCTCTGCACATCTCTATCTCCCCACAAATTTATTCCAATCTGGACTTTCATAAGAAGTGATTTCCTTGCTTTGCTTTAGAGTTTTATCACTGATATGGTTTGCCTCTGTGTCCTCACCCAAATCTCATCTTTTAGCACCCATAATTCCCATGTGTTGTGGAAGGCACCCAGTGGGAGATGACTGAATCATGGGGATGGGTCTTTCTTATGCTGTTCTCTGATAGTGAATGGGTCTTATGAGATCTGATGGTTTTAAAAATGGGAGTTTCTCTGCACAAGCTCACTCTTTGACTGCTGCCATCCATGTAAGATGTGACTTGCTCCTTCATGATCTCATGATTATGAAGCATCCCCAGACATGTGGAACTGTATGTCCAATAAACCTCTTTTTTGTAAATTGCCCAGTCTTGGGTATGTCTTTGTCAGCAGTGTGAAAACGGACTAATACAATTACCTATGTTTGCATTGCCAAACATGATAAATTAATTTTGGCTAGTTTTGAATTTCCTGTAAATGAGGTCATATGATATCTTTAATGTCTCTGCCTTTGACCTTTATGTTTTTTAAAGTTTTTTTTTTATGTTGCTGCAAACATAATGCAGTTTCTTCATTTTCATTTTGTTGCTGTGAAATATTCCATTGTATAAAATACACCATAATTATCTATTCTACTGCTAATGGGTATTTATTTTACCTCCAATTTTAGACTCTTATAATTAGTGGTATTATGAATATTTTTTCATATATATTATGGTGCACATAATTCACACTTCTGTAGGGTATGTACTCAGTGTGGAATTTCAAGGTCATGGGAAACACAAATCCTTAGTTTTACTAGTTTAAGGCACGTAATTTTCCAGAATAGTTGTAGTAATTATTCTCCAGTCCATACAAGATAAGCATTTCTTATGCTCTACATCCTCACCAACACTTGATATTGTCAAAGATTTTAAGGTGTGCCAATCTGTATACTCATGTATCATTGAGATTTAATTCACTTTTCTCTGCTTTTTAATGAGATTAAACACCTTGTCATATGACTGTTGTCCATTTGAATAACCTCTTTTCTGAAGTTAATTCTTGCCCATTTTTTTATGTCTTCTGTTGTCTTTTTAAACCTTTTTCTAACTGATTTGCAGGAGTTTTTATACATCACAAATGTGTAAAATAGATCTTGGTCAGTTATATATTTTGCAAATGTCATTTTCCATTCTATAGCATGTCTTTTCACATTTTTAATATACTTCGATGAATAGAAATGTCTAGTTTTAGGTAATTAAATTTATCAATATTTTCCTTTGTGAGTACAGTGGTTTCGTGTTTGGTTTAAGAGCTCTTTCCCTCCCCTGAAATCTATCAGGATCTTCCCTCATATTACTTTTTTAATGTTGTACTGTCTTGTGAATTTAGATCTATAATCCATCTGGAACCAATTTTACTTATAATCCAGTAGTTTTTCATTTAAATTTTCTCCCACATAAATGTCCAATTTCTTATATAATTGAAAAGAACATCCTTTCCTTACTGCTTTGCAATGTTACCTCTGAAACAAATCAAGTTTCCCTATATGTGGGCATCTTTTTCTGGATTCCTTTTCTATTCCATTTGCTAATTTGTCTACTTTAGAGCCCATACCACAGTTTTCATTACTATTCTTTCATGATAAGTTTGATATGTGGTCAGTTAAGCTCTCCCATTTTTTCCGTTAGTCAACAGTGCTGCAGCTATTCTTGGCCCTATGCATTTCCATATAAATTTTACAGACAGCTTATCAAGTTCCACAAAATTATTCTTGGGGCTTTGGCATTCTACTGAATCATCAGAGATCAATCTGAAAATTGATTATTTTAGGATATTCAGTTTCCAAACAATGGTCATGATATATTTCTGCATTTAGTTTTTAGAATATATCTCAATAGCATTATAATTTCTCCATAGAAATTTACATACCTTTTATAAGTTTACTCCTAAGAATTTCATCTTTGAAGGCTATTGCAAATAACAAATGCAGGAACTCATGGAACTTTATCCCAAAATATAACTTCATGGTATTATAATCAGTATTTTGAATTAAAGGCCCTTAGAGATGAACGGATGCTAGAAGAGATTTTATCCCCCATCTACATAAACGCTGGACCAGTTTTCAGTTCTCCTACCAGGGAGAACAGTTGTGTCTCCTCTTCTTCCTCCTGTCTCTCAATCCTGAAGTTTCCTTATCTGCCTAAATCTAGACTTACCAAAGAAGAAAACAATGGCTTCTGGTCCTTTCCCTGAGTTCTCATTAACTGAACCCATATAATAAGAAGGAACACTAAAGTCTGTCAACAAACATGGGCAGATTTTGTCACAAACAAACTTTGTCCCAATGGACTTTGTCCTGGACCGTAGTATTCTTCCAGGCCCCTGAATTCCTAAAAATCATTTACTATTCCCCTAAAATCATCCTCACTTCCCCATCTCTCCTTCCTCTAAAAAGAAGGCTCTATAAGTATTTCCCCACTGGAATATTGGCAAATCACTCTGATTTTCCCTGTGTGTTTAGGAGTAATAAATTTGTTTGCCTTTTCTCTTATTTATCTGCCTTTTTGTGACTTGGTTTTTCAGTGAAGCCTCTAAAGGCAAAAAGAGGCAAAAAGGAAGCTTTCCCTTTGTTGCTGCAAAACTTTAAGAATTAAATTTTTTATTTATTGCTATGTGGAAATAATATTGATTTTTGTATAATGATTTTTGTATCCTGCAACCTTACTAAACTTTCTGATTAATTCTAATAATTTGTATATTATTTTGGATATTCATCTATATATTTATATCAGTAATGTCAGTTTTTATTATTCATTATGAATCTATGTGCCTTTTATCTTATGTTTTTTCTTCTTTTACTGCATTGGTTAGGATCACTTACAATGGGGAATAGAAGTGATGATGCCGGCATTCTTCACTCATTCGTTATTTCAAAAGGAAAATCTTCAAAGCTTCACCATTAGTATAGTGTAGATTTCCTAGCCTGTAGCTTTCTTGCAGATAAACTTTAAGGTTAAAGAAATTGTCTTCTATCCCAAGTTTGTGAAAATCTTTTATCATGATCGGAGCTTGAAAATTTTTATCAAATGTTTTTCTGCATCTGTTAATATATTGTTTTATCCTGTACTCTATTAATGTAATGAGTTGAGTGATTTTCTAATAGTAAGCCAATATTGCATTCCTGGAATGAAATCAGTTTTGTCACATATGTTAGCCTTGATATATTTTGCTGGATTTGATTGCTAATTTTTGTTTTTGGAATTTTCGCATATATTTTCATGGCAAAATGGACTTGCAATTTTTTTTCTTGTAATGCCTTTGCAGCATTTGAGATTCAGATTTCTTTAGCCTCATAAGTAATTTGAAAAGTCACCCTTTTGCTATTTTACTAAAGACTGTAAAATTGGTGTTGCTTTGTCCTTAAATTTTGGTAGAACTCACCAATGAAGACATTTTCTTTCTTTAGCAGTTATGCTACTACTTGGATTTTGTTTCTTTTTGGATCAATTATATATTTTCCCATGTATCTATATTTTGAATTTGTTTTGACATAAACTTGATTGTTATATCCTCTTATTATCTTTTTATTGACTCCAGGATCTATAGTGATATCCTTTAAAAAATACTGTTTATTTGTGCCTTCTCTCTTTTTCTTCCTTTGATCAGTCTCACCAGAGGTTTATTAATTTAAATTTTTTTAAGAACAGAATTTGATCTTTGTTGAGCCTATTTATTACATTTCTTATTTCATTAATTTTAATCTTATTCTTATTATTTTATTCCTTCTACTTCCTTTGAGTTTAATTTGGTGAATTTTTCTAACTGCTGATTCAGGCATTTAATCTCTTTGCACTGATAATTACTAATAAGTTTGGATAAAAAAATCCACCATCTTCCTATGTGTTTTTTGCTTATCCCAGCTGTTTTATGTCCCTGTTTCTCTCTTTTCTTGCTTTCTCTCAAATTATTTGAGTGACTTGTCACTCTGCGTTCCTTCTCTTTTAGTCTGAAAGATATATATTTCTGTATTATTTTAGTGATGACCCTGAAATTATAACATGCATTCTTGGTGTATCAATGTCTAATCTTAATCCACATTTTGCATGTAAGATAATTCAAAAAACCTGAAACTATTTAACTGCATTTAGTTGCCTCTCGACTTCTATGCTATTGTTGTGTGTAAGAATTTTTTTTTTTTTTTTGAGGCCAGGTTTTGCTCTTGTTGTGCAGGTTGGAGTGGAATGGCATGATCTTGGATCACTGCAACCTCTGACTGCTGGGTTCAAGTGATTCTCCTGCCTCAGCCTCCCGAGTAGCTGGGATTACAGGTGACCTGCTGCCATGCCCAGAAAAATTTTTGTATTTTTAGTAGAGATAGGGTTTCACCATGTTGTCCAGGCTGGTCTCGAACACTTGATCTCAGGTGATCCACCCACCTTAGCCTCCCAAAGTGCTGGGATTACAGGCATGAGCCACCATGCCCAGCCATGTAAAAATATTAATATTGAGTCACCTCCTTGGAACTACTTCAGAGTCTCTGAGCAGTCTGAAAACCATGAGACTAGATGATACAAGACTCCATCGACTTTAACATTCTGTAAGCCTAGAATTGCACTTTTAAAATGTTAACTGGACCAGCCCTGTTGTGGATAATGTATTCTTAAAATGCAGCTGCAGAGAAATGAGGCACCGGTTTTTCATGTTTCCAAAAGCACATAGGTTGACATCTAAACAGTTAGCACTATGTCCCTTCAATTAAATGCAATTGGAAAGCTTCAGGGAGCACTGGTCGATCTGCATATAATATGAGGTATAGTCAAATGATGATGAAGAAATTGGAGTTGTCAGCAGGTCTGTAACTCACCGAAGATAATTTTAGAAGAGCAGAATCACTTTATTTCCTGCTAAAGATTTTTGTTTTCCATTTTTTCTCTCAGACTCAGGCTTGTGGCCTTTTCTGATTGACACTGTAAATGCATTTGGAAAAGGCAAGGTCATTTCTGCATATGTGTGTACAGAATTTTCCAAACAAAGCTAGGAAATTTAAGCTGCCTATTGGGCTGGCTTCAAAGGGACTCTATTTTTCTCATGATTATTCACAAATGAAAGTCATTAAAAAGGTGTTACCATTTTCTGGGGGAAAAGGTGGGAGATGTTGCTTAGTGAAAGTAAACTTCAACTAAATTATGTTCACATGCACCCTGAAAGTAGAGAAGTTTTTACCATTCATGTTTAATTTAGTTCAGTAAAGTGGAGACACTTATTTTCTAGAGTTTGGCTGAAAATAGTAAGCACACCTACTCTGGCTCTCCTAAATTTTCTCCTGTCCCTGAAGCTATGCAATAATGTAACCACATTTATAATAATTTACAATAATGTAGCCACATTTATAATAATGTAGCCAATGCCTGAAAATGAATTTGTTGGCATTTCAAGGACAAATACTTTCTTGGCTACAAGCACTGAACTTCCAATCCAAAACTGGGGAAAAAGTCTAGACTTTTTGACATCTTGGTTTTTATTTCTTTTTGACATCTCAAAAAGTGACATCTTAGGTGACACCTTAGGAATCACCCTGCTGGCTTCTCTGATTCCACCTGGGCATCAAAGGCTGCAAACAGTAATGTCACAGCACTAAGCTTCTAATTTTCTCCAAGAGCTCAGACTGCATTTCTCAGTTGGGAAATGATATTTCTCTGCATTCACAGCGATAGATAGGGAAGTTATACCTCTGAAGGGCAAATGACTCAGCATTAAGTCATTGAGTCATTGGTCTTCTGGAGAAAGAATTCTAGAAGCTCTCACTCTCAGAGTCTGTGTCTGGGAGGAACCACCAAGATCCTCTGCCCCAGGCTGATTTTGTCCCCATCTTGCAGATGAGACCATTGATGCCCAGAGGTGTGAAATGATTTGTTGAAGGTCACAAGACTATTCATTACCAGTATTTTCATAATGCTTAAGTCATGTTTCCCCAAGCTCAGCAAATACATGGAAATGACAATTCTAGAATTCATACCACTATCAAGCACGTTTCATTTAAATGGCAGATTATCCTGCAGCAATCTGTACCCTTATCTTATTGATCTCCAGTCTTCACAGGAAATGAGAGAGACAGCATCACAACAACTATGAAATCACATCCACAGTTTCTGTAGATCACAACGCCCCCCACTATACTCTCTCCTTCACTTCGATAATCTACTGATGGATGAGGTAGGCATGCAATGTAGTTTGCAGACCAGACTTGACAAAGATTGAAAGCATCTGTCAAGAGAACCTGGTCCTCCTGTTTTGCCATCTAGGACATCTGCCAGTTTTTGCTCTGTTAATTGGCTCCTGTGCAGGCAGCTATTTTAGCAACAGTTCCGTGGGTCTTCTGTGGCACATCTTGATTTAAAGTGAAATGTGGAAAAGCATTTCTCAACTGTTCAAAGCTTCCAGGGTTGCTCAAGTTTAGCTGATTGGACAGAGAGGGAGGCAGCCTTCAAAAGTATTGTGTAGAAATAAAACTAGATTATTCAGCCTCCTCAAATTCAGAGAATAATTCTCGGAGAGATGGTGAGTGAGGAGTCTGATTTCCTTTAAAGAGATACTTTTCCTAAGGTCAGATCGAACTGAAAAGAGAGTTTACAAAAAAAAAAAAAAAAAAAATAGCCCACATGACCTTAAGCATGCAGACTCTGAGTTGACACCACAGTGAGGAATGGAGTGCTATTAAAATATACTGAACAGTTTAATGACTCCACTAGCAGTATGCCAAAAAGAAAAAGAAAAAAAAAGATTTAAGCTCTGAATAATTCTGGGAAGGAGGATTTTGCCAAGGAGACTTTAATGTCAAGAATATATGTGAAGCTAAAATAAGGTGCTCACGCGCATCCCAGAGCCGTGGGTGGGATGTATATATGATCAAATGAAATTATTTCACTTCCACTTGTGGAAAAATCTGATGGGAGAAATTGACTAGAAAACATTAAGTCATATTTCACTTGGATTATGCTCATAAGTGCCAAACTCCAGACCTGTCAAAATAAGCCCCACCAGTGCTTCCCGGCCGAGGTGCTAGACAAAGGCTGTGACAGGCAAAAACGATAAAGAGCTTAGCGAAACATCGAGCCTGGAAAAGCCACAGGAACCCAGCTCCCAAAGAAACAGCAGGTTCAGGTAGTTAAGAAGGGGAAGACTTGTTCTTGAGATGTGAGGAATGGAGCCCAGAGTGGCCCAAGTGTTGAATACAGAGCAAGAGGTCTCAGAAAGCCTCAAGGACGTGTGTGTTCCAGGGACCAGCTCTCAGAGGCTGGAAGTGAGGGGTCCATGGCTTTTTAACACAACTTGTTTTCTATCAGAGCCAGTATTCCTTTGTTTGGCCTTGTTCTGGAGGGCCAACAGTGTGCCCTTTCCACAAATCATTTGTTGATGGAATAGGAAATGCACTTGCCTGCTGCCAGCACACTCATCTGCAAACCAAGGCTATCTGCAGAAGAGGTACAAAGCACCAATGCCTGAAAATGAATTTGTTGGCATTTCAAGGACAGACACTTTCTTGGCTACAAGCACTGAACCTCCAATCCAAAACTGGGGAAAAAGTCTAGGCTTAATTAAGTATTTTATTTTCTTCTTCTATTGTAGTGAGAAGATTCATGCATAACCCTGCTACTTTTGTCCCTTCTGCTTGCCTGTCTACTCACTGCCTCCAAGCCACGGCCTGGGGCCACCGATGCCTGTGTTCACTGGGTTCAGGTGCTGGCCAGTGGGAAGGAGGACTGGGAACGGTAGGGAGGGAAGGCGTTTCCTTCCAGGCTGGCATGAATAACTGGGGAGTTCGTGTTGGCCAATACTTAACGCAGTGCGTGGACTCAATAGAACATTTGTTTTGTGCATCTCCCAGGTGATGACGAGGGTGGGTGAAGTCAGCTCAGGTTCCATGCACATGCCCAAGCGGGTGACAAGGACCTGGGAGAGCTGATGGTGCTCAGCCTAGCACTGGTACTGCCCCAGGGTCTAGATGAATTCTGGCTTGGACAGAATCTGCATCTCATGCCTCTCGGTTCTCTCCCAGAACGTCATTCTGGAATCCTGTGATCTTTGCTCCCTGGAGAAAGTAAAAATGAAGCAGGGAGGGAAATAATTTGACCTAATGAAAACGGAAGTAGACATGTTAAGAGACAATAGTTATAAAAAATGTATTAAACATCAGACAAAAAACTGTGCCAGGTACTTTACATGTAATACCCTGACCTTTCTTCTCAATGACTCACAGCTCTCCTTCCCACTGGTCAGCACCAGAGCCCAGAGGACAGAGACATCACAGGCCAACAGGTAGACAATGCTGTTAGCCCCGTTTTACAGATGAAGAAAATGAGGTTTATAGAAGTTAACTAACTTGCCCAAGGTCACACATCACTATGACGAGGCAATGGCAAGATACAAATCTCAACCACTGGCATTAAGCCCAAGACTTAAATCGTTCTCCTCTTATGTCTCATATGGAATTCTCCACCTACCCTCTGTGGCTTATGCAGGAAAACAGCTGAAAAACAGCAGAAAAACAGCAGAATGACAATAGCTGTAGGAGGGATTTAATTTCAGCTCTGCTACTAATTATTTATATAAGCTTAATGATGTCATTAAACTCGTAAGAATTACTTTGTTTATCTGTAAAATGGTAATAAGGCTCCATGTTCTGTTATTGCCATAGAATTGTATTGAGGCAATTCATGTGAAGATGGTTGGAACAAAAGCAAGGTCTTCTAGATGCGTCATGATTAAGGTGGTTGCTATAGGAGGTGTTGTGGTGTAAGAAAAAGCACATTGGCTGTGGCCTGGGCCAGGGTTTAAAATCAGTCACATTAGTGGAATCTTTCTGACTCTCAAGCCTCTCATCTATAAAAGGAGGATTCTGGTCGGGTGTGGTGGCTCATGCTTGTAATCCCAGCACTTCAGGAGGCCGAGGTGAGCAGACCACGAGGTCAAGAGATCAAGACCATCCTGGCCAACATTGTGAAACCATGTCTCTATTAAAAATACAAAAATTAGTGGGGCATGGTGGCATGCACCTGTAGTCAGTCCCAGCTACTCAAGAGGCTGAGGCAGGAGAATCACTTGAACCTGGGAGGCAGAGGTTGCAGTGAGCTGAGATCATGCCACTGCACTCCAGCCTAGCAACAGAGCAAGACTCTGTCTCAAAAGAAAAAAAAAAAAAGGTGGGCGGTGGGGCGGGGGGCATTCTGTAACCTACTGGAGAGTTTGGGCATGAGAAACCCACGTGTTGGTGGAATCCCAGTGCAGTGGCTATCAGTGTGTCTGACTCATGCAAGAGCTCCCCTTACCGGCAGGAGAAAGAGATGGAGCTGCTGAAGACACAGTAAATGAGGGGATTGATGGCACTATTCAATGCTGGCAGGTTCTGAATGATCACAGAGGCATAGAAACGCTCCTGGGTGTCTGGAAGGAGGTTGAAATTGTCCAAAATGTCAAAGAGAAAGTATGGACTCCAACAGCAGATGAAGGCTGGGGGAGAAGAGAGCCATTAGCACCACAGCAGGCAGCAGGTCTTTTTGGTTGGTCCTGACTGGACTTTTACCTGGGAGGTTATTTGGGATCTGGGATTTCTCAGAAAAAATTGGGGTTAGATGCTGTTTAGAGCATTGATGTCATATTCACTTGAACACATACACACATGCATATGGACACATCTTACAGTCATGTTCCTAAGACTGAGCAAAGGTCATAGAGCTTCCCATTGGTAAAATATTCTGCTGTTGTGGATTCTTTATAGAAACCTCAGGAACAGGTGACAATGACCATAGCCTCTCATGTAACACAGGGATCAGGAAAAAACAGCAAAATACTTTGAAAACTCTCTAGGTAGGAAAAGACAGAAGGACAAGCATTTTTGACCACATAGTGACTACTGGTTTTAGGTTATGGCAAGGAGAAGGGGTGATCACAATATTCTCAAAGCGCAGCCCAGTTTAATTACACTGTTTTCAGTTTTTTTCACCTCTAAGTTGGCCTCTCCAGAAAACATCCACACAATATCCTTCAATAAATCCACTGGTTTATGTGAGACCCTAATTTTGTTTGGCTCTAAATTCTCAGATGGATGAAAGGTAGGGAATCAGAATGTGGTGGTTAATTTTGAGACTTCTTGACTGGGGTGTGGAGTGATTCGGTTAAACACTATTCTGGGTGCATATGAAGAAGATGTTTCTGGATGAGAGTAACATTTGAACTGGTAGAGTAAGAAAAGCAGATTTCCCTCCCCTGCATGCAGGCCCTATCCAATCCGTTGAAGGTTTGGGTTGTGGAAAAAGGTTAAGTGAGAGAAAATTCACTCTGCTTGCCTGTCTTTGAGCTAGGACATTGGTCTTCTCCTTCCTTCATACTTGGAGTCAAACTGAAACGTATACCATCCACTCTCCTCAGACTTGGACTAGAACCTACACCATTGGGTTTCCTGGGTCTCCAGTTGTCAACTGCATAACTTGGGAATTCTCAGCCTCAGTAATCACCTGAGCCAATTCCTTCTAATAAACCTCTCTCTTTCATTTTTTCTGGAGGGCACAGACTACTACACAGAGCTAAACTCTCGTAAGTTGACTGGAAATACACGCATCTCTCATTTTCTCACCACGTGTCCTCCACTCTCCTTCTCCCATTTTCTCATCCATAGAATTTTTTCTCAGAGTAGAAGTTTGGCTTCCTTGGCTTTCTGCATGCAGGGACAAGCTTTCCTCCACAACTCTGTAATGCGAATTCTGTAACTTGTTGGGGAATTTTGGAATAATAAACTGACTCATGGTTCCCCTCTTGATCCCAGACCTTGGCAATGTATTGAAGAAGAGCAATTCAAACACAAAGCCCACTGAGTGTTCTGGATCCTGGTTAATTAACTCAAACATTGGCCCTGAAAAGTGTCTGGGGCACTAAGGGGGCAAATGGCCTTGTGTGCTTCTGTGTTTGCATGTGTGTGTATGTGAGCGTGGGGGATTCTAGTTGTCACAGGGATGCCAGTCCTCTGGCATGCTACAGGCAGCTCAGCCAGCAAAGATTTGTATCTACGGTGAATGCCCAACTAGACGTTCATGTGGGGAGAACCCTCTGTATAGTTAGCCCAGTCTAGAAACCTGACTTTGTTTTACACATAAACACAGATATTTTAAAGAATTTTCTAGAAATGCAATTCTGTTGCAAATGGAAGAAAGATTGCTTTGTTTAATTCAAAAGTTTACAAGGATTTTTTTTTTTTTTTTTTTTTTTGCAGCTCAGAAAATCAAGTCGCTGACAGCAATACTGCTTACATTTTTTTTATATCTCCATGAAAATGCACCTGTATTGGTTTTCATTCGTAGCTGTTACTATGTCAAGGTGTAGGTATCGCTACTTCATTCCTCTTCTAGTGTAGCTATGCTTACATTTTTACATATTAAAATTAGAATAAATTTTAATTAACAAAATAGTATTGTTTTATTATAGATTATATTCTTATTCTTCCTTTATATTACCTTTATATTATTTTGGGGGCAACATTTTTCTTTTTTTTTTTTCTTGAGACAGGGTCTCGATCTGTCACCCAGGCTGGAGCTCAGTGGTGCAATCTCACCTCACTGCAACCTCTGCTTTCCCGATTCAAGCGATTCTCCTGCCTCAGCCTCCCGAGTAGCTGCGACTACAGGCGCATGCCATCATGCCTGGCTAATTTTTGTATTTTCAGTAGAGACAGGGTTTCACCATATTGGTCAGGCTGGTCTCAAACTCCTGACCTTGTGATCCACCTGCCTCAGCCTCCCAAAGTGCTGGGATTATAGGCGTGAGCCACCACACCTGGCCTAATTTTTTTAGTTACCATGGTAGGTAGTATAAGTATACATTTTATTTCAAGATGGGAAAGGGACATTACAAAGTGTTTGCTATAGAAAGGGCCCTTTTGGTCTGACAGGGATGACAACACTTGCTGACCCTCCAGTGGGTGTCCCTGCTTGCTGACTGAAGGCATCCCACAGGGCCTGGGAGTATGGTTGCTGATGACAAAGGGCTATGCTGGCTCTGGGACACACTTGTAACATACATTTTCCAACTCAACATCCAGGGAACGTGCCTCTGTGGTTCTGACTATCTGGGAAGGCAGAGGAATCTTTGATCTACTTCAGAAGCCTCTGAGAAAGTTTTTGAGCCCTGGTGGGTTGTGTACGTTTTATCCCAGTTCTGCCTGCAGTGTTGTTTTGTGCCCACGTCCTGCTGGCTGAGTCGTGCTGCGTGTGGTCTGTTTGGCATTTTGCAGTTGTGTTTTAAAAAGGTGAGAAGACTGTTCTGGTGCTTTGACATGCAGCTAATGGGAGATCTATGCTTCCTCGGGGCTTCCAAGAGTTGACAGAGGGGCAAGTAGTGGGTATTTAAGCTAAATAAAAAAGAAAATAGCACAAATGCTTTCCTTCTTGTGTATTTGTATGCACTCATTCATTCATTTAACAAATGTTAGTTGAGCAGTGTGTGGGGGACCCTATTTTAGGTCTTGGTGAAAATGTAAGTCACACAAAAGCCAAAGTCATTGCCCTCATAAATGTATTACTCCAGCATGGGAGATAGACAATAAGAAAATCAATCCATATCCTATCGTGCCGGGTAGAACCAAGAAGAAAAATAAGGCAGAGTAAAGGCTAGAGAAAGGATATAAGACTTGTCAAGGAGCCCTCAGGGAGGTGGCATTATTGGGGAACAAATGAGGTTTGGAAGTAAGCCAGGTCACCACTGGAGAGCAGCATATTTCAGACAGGCAATAGTGCAAGGTGACTTTATGGGGCTCAAGCATAGAGAGAAAGGAAAAGGAAAGGGCAAAAGACAGGAGGGTGGAAGGGCAGGTAAGGTGCCATAAAGGAGGAATTTGTAGTGACCCTAACATTAAATATTCAGAAGAGATGGAAAGCCACTTCTGCCTTCTTTTTGCTTATGAACTCCAGCCTGGGGGAAGAGTGTGTCTTAAAGGAAGTGACTGAGTTAGCAGGTGATGTGAGCATCCCCTTCAGCTAGTTAGGTCCTAATCAGATTTTCTCCAAATTATTCAACCCATGGCCTTGGCAGGCAGCTGTATTCATAAGGAGAGGGATTAGGAACCAAATTTCAGCCTTTGAAAGAACCATGGATGGGCTGATGAGTTTCACACATTACTTTCCAATCAGACCAGTGTAGAAGTGCCCATCAACGAATTCCTTTCTGCTGCCAGGTCCAGGAGCAAGCTTGCTTTTGGGATATTCATACCACTTTACAGCTCAGGAAGGGACACTGCTTACCAAGAATGATGACGATGCTATACTTGATAGCCTTGAGTTTTGCCTTTGAGATGAGTCCTCGGTTGTAGTGGCTGCACAGTTTCCCATCTGTAGATACAAGAGGGTAATGGTAAGATGAAGTGTTCAAGATGTGACAGTGTCTGTTTCTGCCAATGGGAACATTAAAGGTTAGACTCCAGTTCTCCAGTTTTCGCTTATATCCTATGCACTTATGCCCAGATGGCCTCCTTGGAAATTCTTAGATTAAAGATAGTTCTGGGCTGCTTTCTAGAGAATGCTCAGTTTACACCTTAATATTATATGCAAATGCTATGGAATACTCAGACTCTCTCAAGAAACGTGGTCAGATGGCCTGAGCTAGCTGAAGCTGGAATTAGAGCATGTCACCATGCAGGAACTGAGCCCTTCCCTGGGGAGCACTATTCTCTGAGCCCTGGCTATGCTGAGACACCCATGCGGCCACTTTAGCAACCTGGGCAAAATTATTTTCTAAAATGGTTGCTCCAGACAAACACATTTGTCAAAAAAAAAAAAAAAAAAAAAAAAAACTCTCAAGAAAAGCTCAATTCAGTGTTTACAAGATTTTCTAAAATAGCAGCTTGGATGTACATTTTTTCATATGTGGGCTGCTGTCTGATGCTGAACACTGAGGGGTGAATATAACAATCTACTAGAATACAAGCTTGATGAGAATAGGGTCTTTGTTTCCTGCACTCCTGTAGCCTATACACATATGAATGACTAATACAAACATGTTGAATGAATCAATAACCAATAACCACCTCTCATTAGTTAAGTCGCAGTACAACAAGGGGATAGAATTAGGCTAGGCAGGATCCAATGCCATAGGCCTTAGTTAAAGGAGTGGTTACTGTAAATTTGGGGATAAAAATGTCAGATGCAGTGTCCTTTTCCTCATGGAAGAGTTTGTACTGTCAGGGCTTCCACCAGCCCATATGCCACCTTTGTGAAAATTCAGAAATAGGACCCTTCCTCTGATCAGCACAGGCCTGCCTAGGGCACATATTCAGTGAGGGAAATACGAAGAGGATGGCAGTTCTGCACACCTCTCAGCCAGGAGCCACCCAGTGAGGCTCAATGGGCACAACCCCAGTGGTGGCCTTGGTCAGAGGCCCACCCAGTGCATCCACGTCACACGGAGGAGGGTAGCTGTGCACTAGAAAGGCAGTCTGCTGTGCTCCATTGTCCTCACTGCACTGGACAGCTCTCACATTTGAAATTTATTTTAATGCCCATGGAAACCAGTCAGATGTTTACATATTTGCAATATTCATTCAATCCCACCTCCAATCTGATCTCACCCAACCCCACAAGCATAGCATATCTGCTAAGAGATAAGGATGACTGGAAGGGCTGAAATAGAGTTTTTGTTCTCTAAGAATTTTCAATCCGGTGTGTAAGACCACATACTCTCCATAAAACTGGTTGAGATGAGAGAGATGCTGCTGTGGTTTGAATGTCTCTGCCAAAACTCATACTTAAATTTAATTGTCATTGTAACAGTATTGGGAGGTAGAGCCCGTGAGAGGTGATTAGGCCACCAGGGCTTGGCCCTCACGAATGGATTAGTGCTGTTATTGTGGAAGTGGGCTTCTCATGAAATGGACGAGCTTGGCTTGACTTTCTATCTCTTGTGTGCTCGCTTTCACCCTCTGTCTTCTGCCATGGGGTGACCCTTGCCAGTTGCAGGCACCCTGCTCTTGAATTTCCCAGCCTCTAGAACCATAAGCCAAATAAATCTCTTTAAAAAACAAATAAATTTCCCAGCCTGTGGTATTCTGTTATAGCATCAGCAAATGGACTAAGACAGAGTGAAACCAACTGTGGACAGAGGAGAGACCCATCCGTCCACCACTGTGCTGGTGAGGCTGTGTGGGAGAGGCAGAGAGCGTCAAGTGAACTCAAATGACATAAGAAGGATTCCAAAACAAAGGCAGGGTGCAGTGTGGGATGGGGAGAGGTGGGAAGCAGAGAGTGAACATCCTCAGCCAAGACATGGAACAAGAAAATGTAGGATGCGTTTTCACCACAGTGAGTCATATTGCTTGGCTGTAGCCTGCAAATGTGTGGGGTTTGAGAGTGGAGAAGAGAACTGAAGACAAACTGGGGAGGCCTTGAATGTCTTTGTGAGGAGTTTGGGCTGAACTCCTGAGGTGGCAGCAGGCCATTGAAGCTTCTGAGTGTTTGTACAGTGTGAACATTTACTCACTGCAGAGGACGAATGATTTTCAAGAGTAACAGGAATAGGGGCTCTTTAGGTACAAATAACTAAAATGCTTATTATAATTAATTCATATTTCTTAAAGCATACCCTCCTAAATACTATTAGGGTCTTCAAGTTATTCTGTGCATTTCCTGGGATCATGAAACCTCAGTCTTGTAAGAAAGCAAATGCTTCAGAGCATTTAGAGCAGTGATTCTCCACTAGGGTGATCTTGCTTTACAGGGAACTTTGGGCAATTGACACATTTTTGGTTATCACCATTGTGTGTGCATGTGTGCTACTGGCGTCTAGTGGGCAGAAGCCAGGAATGTTGCTAAACATCCTTCAATGCACAGAGCAGCCCCCACAACAAAGAATTATCCAGTCCAAAATGCCAAAGGTGTCAAGAAACCTTGATTTCTAGGATGGGATCTTGGGAAGGACACAGGCTGTAAGACCGGACTGGAATGCATCTTCCGTCTCTACCAATTACTCACTGTGTAACCTTAGGCAAATTGTCTAAAGTTCCAGCTTCAGTTTCTCCATTTAAAAATCGAGGCGTAGAACACCTCATTCACAGAGTTACTTTGAAGATTAACATAAAATAATATATTCAAGGAGCCAAGCCCCATGCCGGGGATGTCGGATGTGCTATCAGTTGAGATGAATGCAGTTTTAACAGTATTTCAGGTGGAAGGTGAGCCAACTTTATGGAAGTGAACAGAAGGTATTACGACATTTGATTGTCTATTATGCGAGGTTGTTATCTGTGTAAGAATTATGTAAAGCAGAAAATGATCAGGGTGAGATTATTCCCATGGGGGGCAAGTAAAGAAGACAGCAGACCAAATTATATTCTTTCAAAATGTCCCCACTGGCTGTTCCTAGGCAACAGCTGGCCCCTAAACAGTATGACTCTGCAGACTAAGTTGGTCTTTCAGCAAAGTTTTCGGGAATGACATTTGTGCTCTCAAATCTCTTTAAAATGGAAACTCGCAGTGCTTTCCACAGGGCAACGGGGTGACAATATAATCAACTACCTGTCCAGAGATCAGTGAAAAGCATCTTTAATCTGACCATTCCAGGAAATGCAAAGCCTCTAGCTTCTAAAGATGGCTCTTCAGAGAGAGCTGAGCTACAAAATGCCGGTAATTCTCCTTTATTGGGAGATAAAAGGATTATTTCTACTCAGGCCTTGGCGCTGAGCTGCAGTGAAAAGCAGTTCAATCCCGCTGTCACTGTGCATTAATAACTGGGGTAGCCTGAAGTTGGCAGGTCCATTTGATTTGGGACTGGAAGAAGCACACCGATGTGGACTGTTTCAGTTCCAGGGTACATCCCTAATGGGGGCCTATGCTGAAAATTTAGTCTCCAAATGGCCATTTCTGGCTCTTGACCTTCCCAAGGCCACAGGCCTCTTACAGAGCTGCTGGGAACCCATGCTTCATATAGGCTGAGCACCTGAAGTGGGAGGAATTGGTACCTTGGGATTTCAAATGGAAGTAAAATTGGTTTCTAGGAAGTGGTGGGGGGAATTCATCTGTGGACCCATAATGAGTGCAGGTGATTTCTTTACAAACAAGGAAGTCTAACTGGCAATATTTTTAAATAAATGTGCTTACTAAGGTAGAAATTTGTGTATGTTAGGTTGATTTTTAAAAACTTCAATGTATTTTTAGCAGTTTTTCCTGATTTCTAAAAGTTTTAAAATTTGAAATTCATTTTGAGCAGTAACATTCTCTTTACAAATAGAGCGTGAATACTGCCTGAAATCACCAGTTCAGTATTTTAAGTGTATTAGGTCTCATCTGCTTAGCTGCAGGACTGTAGTCCGTTTCTTTCCAGGGTATTTTAGTTCCTCTAGTTTTTCTGGTAGACCCAAGGAGGCATCTCAGAGTGTTCCAGGATCCACCCGGGCTACTGCCTGTGCCTCTGCGGTGACGCTGTCTGGATCCTGCTTTCTAGGTTCACTGCAGCTGCCCTGGGCTGCCCCAGGCCCCTTCACCCAGACCTCCTCTTTGCCAGTGACTGCCTCTTGAGGGGCTGCGGCTGGACACCAGATGCTCCACAGCCACAGTCATTTCTAAGCCACGTTGTGAGTCGTCTTTGTTATTGCTCTTGACCTTGGGCAGTTGCTTTGCTTTTCCGCTCCACCTTTCAGGAACTCAGTTCTGTTCCAGGGCTGTGGACTATTTAGCACCACTGCCCTTCCCTGGGATACTTGCTATCCAAGTTCTTCTGCCAGGAAACAAGGAAATGGCCTCACTCTTCTGTGCTGTGCTATTCCAGGGGGCTACACCAGACTTGCTTGAACTCCCAGGGATGTCAGCTTCTTTAGCCCTCCCACACACAATGTTTTCCTCCCTAGATGCTGACGAGTGGCCAGAGTGGTTAGGTGGGAATGCTATTCTGTGGCCCAGAGCTTACATTTCCTTTTGACCTTGAGGTGCTCATTGTGCCTGACGCCATATTCTCCAGAATGTTTTCATGTTCAGGAATCTTACTGTCTTTTTATTGTCATCTGAGGTGCTCCCTCTCTCCCCATTCAGTGGGCATGCCTGCATATCTCTGAACCTTCAAGTAGGAAAGCATTTTGAGTTTCTTTTCAGGAGGTTTTTAGTCCAGATCCAACTGTAAATCATAGCTAGGTATGAGAAAATTTCATCTAACTCACCAGATAGCCCTTTCTGTACCTCAGCACCTTGGCTCAGGCAGAAGCAGGAGCCCTGACAGCCTAAAATAGCTATGCAAAGACCAATGTGCTGTTCACCAAACCCATTCCTGTGTCCCCAAGGCACACAACTAGACTTCAATTCCCAGCCTGCCTTCCACCAGTGTGTAGTCATGTGACAAGGATCTAAGG